GGGGTTAGAGGGATCAAGAAATTGCCTTTTGTTGCAAATTAAGGCTTCACTTTGAGGTGTACTTTGTATATGAGAACCTGGGCTGCTAATTCAAATGAGCCTCAATTCCTTATCTAATTTGTATTTTGAGAGCTACATAGTTTTTATAAACCACACACTGTCCTTTATCTCCATTTCCTTCAACTGGTAGTGTTGGGGGTAACTGACAATATTAGACTATTTGTAAAGTTTTAACTAACAAATAGCTAACCTACATTTTTCATTTAAAATAAATCCTGAGTTCAAAAAACCATTTGCTCTATTCTAGCTTTGTTATTTTGTTTGTAGAATTATATCACAACCATTCTAAAATCCTTCATTTCAATATTGTTCATAGAAAGAGAGATGAACACACAAAGCTTCAACGGTTGACTGTCCCTGCCACCCACCCACTCACCCCCACCCATCTCCACCCCAGCAAAGTGCAGCTTTAAGAGGCTTCCCCGGTGCATTTCCACTGCCTGTTTACCTGCTGGGCAAGCCTGGGGAAGCTTCTAAGACCCAGCGCTGATCAGCTGTGAGGCGGGGAGGGGGACGGTCTGGAGCAGAGAAGAGCAGAAAATGGCTGCCGGCTCTCTACCGGGTGCCGGCTCTGAGCTGTTTGGTGCTCTTTTTCCTGTTTTTCTGAGGTAAGTGATTTTTTTTGTTTTGTTTTGGACTTTTTTCCCCATAGGAACACATTAATTAAATTTCAGGGCATTCCTACGGAAAACCATGCCTCGCAAGACGACATTTTCACTGGATGGCATTAACCATGGAATGGATTAATGTCATCTTGCGAGGCACTACTGTACCTGGCCCTGTGCACGTTGCTAGTTTTGCAATGGAGAGTTTTATTCCTGCAATAGTGGGAGGCCCACATCTTCTCTATCATGCACCACTTGGAGATGCTGGGTTTTGTGTACATCATGATCTGCACCCAGAAGCCTCCGGGAGCTGCAACTATGGAATAAAATGGGTATGAAACAAATCACAAAGCAAACAAACCTACAAATTGGGCTACAGTGGGGTCTCGACTTACGAACTTAATCCGTATTGGAAGGCAGTTCTCAGGTCGAAAAGTTCTTAAGTCGAATCTGCATTTCCCATAGGAATGCATTGAAAACCATTTAATCCGTATCTGCTCTTTTCGTCCATAGAAACTAATGGGAAGCTGCTATTCCGCCTTCTGCCACCAGAGGGGGATATTTTTTCTTTTTTCCTTTTAACCTAAGATGACTTAGCTTTAAAAAAAAGGGAAAAAAAGAGTTCGTAACTCGAATCTAAGTTCGTAAGTAGAGTCCATATATTCCTATGAGAGTGGTTCGTAAGTCGAAACGTTCGTATGTCGAGCCGTTCGTAAGTCAAGACCCCACTGTATTTCATAGTTTGTTTGGGGAAAATGCTTGTCTAGAATGAAATGAAACACAGAAATTTGATCAGTGCAGCCTAGTCATTCACTTCATTTCTGGGCTTGTTGTGCCTGGCCAGTCAGCCCGGTGCCACTCAATTAGTTCCCTTGGCAATGCTAGGGTGGACTTAGACAAAACTTTGTGTAGGATTGACAGAAAGGATTGTCAGGTCAGACAGATAACTGCAGAGCTCCAAGTCTGGTCTCTGGGAGCAGCTGGCTATAGGAGCAGCTCACTTTTACAGCAGCTGGCATGAGAAGAAGATGCTTGGCCATCCTCTTCCCAAGTGTGCCCCCCTTTCTGTTCCCTCCTCAGTCCATTTCATGATGAACAACACCCTCCCTCAAGCTCCCTTACATGAACCATTCATTTTATTTTTCCCAAGCCAGCTGTTAAGAAGCACTTTCCTGGGGAGATCTGCTTTGGGGGCTATAACTTGGATGTCCCAAATCCAATCTTCACCAAAATTGGTGGGGAGGAGACCCAGGTGAATAACTGTTGTCCATTTGACATCTGTAAATGGGGGCATTTTACTGCTTCCAGAATTCCCAAATCACACAAACCACAAAATGGTTCATTTTGTTGGGAAATTTTGTGAAAGTTCATGATTCGTGGTTCGTGAATAGCCATCATGAACCACCATTTTCCCAGTTCTTATCCATCTCTAGTCACAACCTTCATCCCACAAACAAATGAACAATGGCCAAAATTGAAGTAAACATTCATCCAATTTAGGTCTGTACTTTTTATATATTTTTTTCAATTTATCCATGGGGGGGGGCACCCAGAAAATCATGTAAGTGGGAAAAATTGCTCCTGATCCTATAAAGTGCTTCACTTCTGACATGATAGCATGTTTTTTCCTGACCCCAAACTTCAAGCGAAAAGTTTGCCGTATAGAACATTTGACCTAGGTATTATCTAAGCCACAAATCCAAACCTTTATGCATTCTGCAGGATCATGAAAACTTTTTACCCAAACTCTCAAAGTTCTGTCATTCTCCCTGTACAACAAGCTGCAAAAATATTGTTTTATCACATATGCATATTTTATAGGTCCCCATATCTTTCCTGAGTGGAATTCTCATTCTCCAGGCTGTAACGACTGCCTCACTGAAATCCACACAGATAGACAGCAAACTGTTTCCAGAAATGAACTTCCATAAGCAAATCATTATAATACCTAACAAAAGTATGGTTCATAGTCTATAATAGTATTAATTTGTTGTAATGTGCCGTTGCTGCTTACAGCAATCCTAAAAGAGTTTTCAGTGAATACTTATTTATTTAAAATATTTCTCTCTCGCCTTTCTCCTTAGAAAGAACACAAGGTGAGTTACATAATTGAAAAGACAATATTTAAAAACTAAAAACAGTAGGTATGCAAATATTTAAAAAGAATTAAAAATGTATTACATTAACAATTGTAGTAAAATCAATATTAAAACACATTTAAAACAACAACATACAGTAATTTGTTTTATTTTGTAAGCCGCCCCGAGTAGACATGGTCTAGAGGGGCGGGGTAAAAATCAAATAAATAAATAAATAATCCATTTAAAAACCTCTTCAGACCACCAGTCATTAAGGAAAAGCCATCCTAAAGAGAAACGTCTTTGCTTGCAGAAGGACAGCGGTCCTTCTGATGCAGTCAGCCTAGCTTCCTGTGGGAGAGAGTTCCAGAGTCTGTGAGCAAAGACAGAGAAGGCTCTCTCAAATGCCCACACCAAGTGCACTTGTGAGGCTAATGGGAGTGAAGCAGCCTCCCCAGCTTATTATCTTAATGCCCAGGTGGGCTCATAGAGGGAGATGCAGTCTTTTCGATAACTTGGAACCAAACCACTGAAGGCTTTATAGGTTAAAACCAGCCCATTGAATTGTGCCCAGAAATGGATCAGCAGCCATTGGAGCTGCTGTAACAGCAGAGTAATGTGTTCCACTTTCAAAGGCAGCTCCACACAGAGTGCATTACAGTAATCCAACCAAGATGTAATTAAGGCATGTGCCACTGTGGCCAAATCAGAATTCTGAAGAAATGGGCACAGCTTGCGCGCTAGTTTTAACTGTGCAAAGGTATTCCTGGCCACTGCTGAAACCTGAGCATCTACGCTCAGAGATGAATCCAGGGCCACACCCAAGCTTCATGCCTGTTTTCAGAGGGAGTGTAACTATGGGAGATGTCTATGCCTAAGTGGTGATTCAGAGTCAAGATTCCTGACTCCTAATTCACCACCCTGTCCATTACACCACCCTCTCTCCATTTATTTGTAGAAGTTTCTTATCACACTTTACTGCTGAAATGAACCAGAATTTCCTTCTTTCTTTGGTTCCTTTTATTGGTTACTTACAGCCCAAGCTATTTACTTACAGGCCATGAGAAGATGGGCCTTCTTCACAGTGTTACCAACACTTAGGAACCAGCTCCCAGTGGTTCTTCATCTGGCTCCCTGTTTAGATACCTTCTGAAGATTTCGCTCTACAATCCCGGCCTAATTTTTATGCCACTTCTACTGTCTTTTATTTGAAATGTTTGCCTCTTGTTGCATCCAGTTTTATTTGTTCATTAGTTTTATTTTTAATCATACCGTTTGTACTGTTGTATTATTTTGCTGTAAATCAACCAAAATAGTGCTTCAAACTCATAAGGCAGATCAAGGAATAAAGATGCAATCTTGTGCTGGATGGGGTTGCACTCCTTCTAAAAACACAGGTGTGCAGCTTGGCGGTTTCCTTTAATCTCTGAGCCTGAATGCCCAGGTTTTGGCGGTGGCCAGGAGTGCATTTACACAATTAAAACTAGTGTGCCAACACCCAGTGGCGCCTGTTCCTGAAAAGGTCTGTCCTGGCAACATATGCCTTAATTTTTTTTTGGGTGGGGGGGAGTCACAGAGGAGGAGAAATGAGTAAGTAAAACTTAATATAGGGGTGCAGTTGCTTGAGAAACAGTATGCTGTATAGTGTTTAGAAAGGTCTATGCTTGAGACAGTGTTTAAGACCTGGTTGGACACAAAGCTTCCAAAATGAACTTGGCCTGGTCAGTATTTTCTCAAGTTCATCAACCTTCCAAGGTTATGGAGATAAAATGGGGGAGATGGGACCGTATGGGAAGGGTAGTATGCATCTGTAACAGATTAATAACAGCTAAATCATCACTGGAGTTTAGGAACCGTCCCGCCCTCACAGACTTTCAGAGGGGACATATTTTGTATTTTTATACAAACCTTGGGTATGTAGGCTGTTATGCAGTGGACCTTGGTTTTAGCAACATGTGGTGCTTTTCATTTCTTTGTTCAGTGTGCTGAACTTTGTGTCTGCTGGTCAGCACTTTAGTTCCTGTTGACAGTTTCCCCTTTGGGCTGGCAGATGGAAACACACAATTGTATTGCAAGAATGTTCGTTTCCTTGCTGATTTGCAGCAGTGCTTCTTATATCCCTCTCCTCACTCTCTGTAAGAGAGTCGTCCAGATACTGTACTGCCTGGTTTTTGCCTTGGAATAGTGTAAACCACTAAAGAAATCATTTTGGGGGTAGAGCCTGTCTTGGCTGCTCAGTCATCCTAGAGTTGATGTGGTTAGCGGTTACAGTCACTTGAAAGACATTAGCTCATGTTGTGTTTTGCCTGTTTTTAGGTTCTTGTTGACCTAACATGTGCTTCGGAGGGGACCAAGAAGTACAAAGAAGCCACTGAGCTGGTCTTGTGAGAGAGAAGTCCGATAATTGCTGACTTCGCTGAGCTGCAAAATGGGTGAGGAGGAGGGGAGCCCCTGTGAACATTGCAAAGTCTGCATTTAAGTGTTGGTTTGTCTGATTTTATGTCAGAAGGGTATAAATAGCCAGGGATAATACTACTTGAGTCGCAGATATGATTCACTCCCTTAGCCTGGCTTGATCACACTATGCTCTAGATTGCAGCAATATGCTCAGAGAGCATTTCAGCCCCCTTTTCTGAGGTTGGAGCTGTGAAGATAATTTTTCTCTCCCCCACAGAGACACAGAAGCTGTTGACCCCAGTGACTGGCTATGGGTCTCAGGATGGAGATACAAGATCTGGCTTAGGCCCTGCTTCCTTTCAACCAGAAGAAGAGGAACTCCGCAGGCGCCTCAAGTACTTCTTTATGAGCCCCTGTGATAAGTTCCGTGCCAAAGGCAGGAAGCCATTCAAGCTGGTTCTTCAAGTGGTCAAGATCTTAATAGTCACCATCCAGGTACGTCAGGAGTCTTCAGAGCAAAGGTTGAGAGGGTCGGGATGACCGCTGGTTCCCCATCCCAGCAGAGAGTAAGGAAGAAGCAACCCACAGAAGGCTATAACAGACTAGATTTTTAAAATATGCACTCTACCCACAGTCTGCAGAACCTGTAGACTATGTAATTATCAGGCTGTGTTCTGGTTAATATTTACTCAAGACAATTAACTATGTGGATTTTAATTACTTAAAGAAGCTTAGCCGCCTAGAGTGGTCCTCGCTTGACCAGATAGGCGGGATATAAATAAAATAAATAAATAAATAAATGAGAGAGAGAGAGAAAGTCCCCCATTCATCCAACATGAGAGCAGCATCAAAAGAATACATTTTCATGTGAAGGATTGCTAAGCCAGCAGTATGACCTTCAGCGCTAATTTCCACTGGAACCTTAGATTTCCCTCTTCTCTGTGAATTAGAAACATATCCAAGGCTTTAGCCTTTAACCTAAAATAATAGCTCCTCACACTCGTGCTTTAGGCTTTACAGAGGGCAAATCCATTGTATTATAATCCTACTGATTTGTGTTCAGGTTCCTCTACTCTATGTTTCACCAATAAGGTCCTTTTCAGGTGGTAGACTTTGCTATGCCCAAGTACGTTGCCATGCTGAAAACATTTCTTTATTAATAGAGTTGCTCAGAGTGCAGCAACTCTGCTGATCTCTCTTAAAAGCAGCTAATCGTGACTTACTGATGAAGATTTATGAAATCTTCACACACAGATAAAAATCAATTAGTTGAAAAATCCTTAGCTTGTTAGCTGGAGTCAAACTGTTCTTCTGGATGTATAATTGTATTTTCCAGTTCACTGGGCATGGGCACAGGAAAACAGCAACAACCCACAGTGGGGAACTGTCAGTTGATCCCAGGCTATTCAGGCCTTTTTGCTTGCAGGCCAGCTTTCTAAAGACCAAGGAAATTGGGGGCTGCGCTGAGTGCCCCAAGAATTTTTCTTAGTCCTCTTGGGAAATTTACACCAATCTTAAACACGTATGTTTATTTGAAACCTCTTTCACTTGCATGGTAATCCCATTACTGGCAAATGAAGATGTAATCACAGTTTATTCACACGATTTGAAAGCTTTATCCTCTTTACAGGACAGCAAGTGAAAAGAACACAGTTGACTGCCACTGACACCTGAAAATCCTATGGTGACATTCGTAAAGCATAAATGAGCAGTGAACTTATATTTAAAACAGGTCTGTCTCTGAGACGGATTCCTTTCATGTTTCCCATTGGCTCTGGTGGCAGTCTTCATGATCACTGCAAAAACATAAATATGCTTTTGTTCTCCTTCTACACCCTTTCATTGGTCTTCTGGCTTCCTATATAATGACTAGCAGAAAGCAATAAATACAGATTCCTTAATGTACAAAGACAGAGTTCCCATATTACTGCTTTTCCAGGTTTTGTCCATATTCTACCTATGCTACCTACAGTACTTGCTTGAACCACCCTCTGGTCTGGCCTCCCAGCTTTCATTACTTTTTAAAAAGTAAACTTGTAGTCCTTGATGAACCAGAAATAGAAGAAAAACCAGAGAGTTAATGTTTTGGTTGTTGTGGGTTTTTCCTGAAAAGGACAAAAGCTGATCTCACAGCCATAAACACTCAACTTCCAAGCAAACTGCACCAGAGCGCAAGAGTGCTGTCCTCTGAAGATGCCGGCCACAGAGACTGGCGAAACGTTAGGAAGGACAACCTTCAGAACACAGCCAAAGAGCCTGAAAAACCGACAACAATCATTAGATCCCGGCCATGAAAGCCTTCGCGAATACAGTTAATGTTTTGCCCAACTGCTCTCTACCAAACTATCATGTCTGTATGTTTTCCAAGTGATCATCCTCTCCCACTTTTTGAGTAAATGTTGCAACTGAGAGACATCTAGCTTGTTTGAAGATGAATGAACTATTTTTGCAGAGCTGACAGCAAATGGAGGAAGCAAAGCACTTCAAGAAGGGTGGGAGCTTCTAAAAAAGGAAATTCTAAAGGCACAACTGCAAAGAATTCCAACAAGAAAAAAAGGTGAGAGACAGCAAAAAATAAAAAAAAGTCCAGTGTGGCTTCACAAAAAGCAAAGACAGGACTGTACTGAAGCCAAAACTGTGCTCATGACCCGGGGTTCAATCCCAGGTAGCCGGCTCAAGGTTAACTCAGCCTTCTGTCCTTCCAAGGTCGGTAAAATGAGTATCCAGCTTGCTGGGGAGGCAATGTGTGGCCTACATAATTAACTTGTAAACCTCTTTCACTTGCATGGTAATCCCATTACTGGCAAATGAAGATGTAATCACAGTTTATTCACACGATTTGAAAGCTTTATCCTCTTTACAGGACAGCAAGTGAAAAGAACACAGTTGACTGCCACTGACACCTGAAAATCCTATGGTGACATTCGTAAAGCATAAATGAGCAGTGAACTTATATTTAAAACAGGTCTGTCTCTGAGACGGATTCCTTTCATGTTTCCCATTGGATTCATGTTTCCCAGAGAGTGCTTGAAGCACTATGGTGAGGCAGAAAAGTGGCACCTGGGGTCTGGCAGCCGTTGAAGCTGCCAGACAGGTAGAAAATCAGCTGCCATCATCAGAGGGCAGGGTTGCCTACTCTGGGCCCCTGCAGAAAAAAAGTAAACAAAAAGAGCTACAGGTATATAGGCAGGCACCTTGATAAGCTGGCTGAGAGGGCTCTTAGCCACCCCAGCCTCTCCTTCCAGGAAGAGGTTTTAAGGGCTTCTCAGCAGCCCATAGGGCCCCCTCAATGTATATCCTTTGCCTAGGAGCAGGGTTTGGGGACATGAAGGAGCCATGCGCAAGTGTTCTGCTAGCATGCTGCAATCTCCTTGAGCACTCCACCATGCCACCAAAAAAGAGGACACAGCCTGGCCACCCTGCTGATGCTGGCCCCTACAATACGGGGGCATGGTCAAGGCATGTGCACTGTTCTTGAGCAACAGCCCCCAGGGGTAGAGCACAGCAGCAGATTAACCAGCAGCTGGAGGGCCAGCAGAGAGTTTTGTGCAACACCACACATGCTCTGGCCCAAATAACTTAGCAGCAAGAGACCATCACACAAGCCGAAGCAGGAAAAGCAGAGATGGTGGAACCAGAATAATCTAGCTAGCAGGATGAGGCTGCAGAGGAACAAGGGGTGTCTAGTGCTGGGGGTGATCTGGACCAGATGAGGGGCTGGCAATTAAATAATCATTTACATTATGTCCTCCAGGTGATGGGGAAGCTATTGACTATGATGAGGCATTTGTGTCCCAGAGTGCTACCGTGAGGTGAGACCTCATCCCCAAAACATTGTGGTTCATAGAGGTAAGACCACATGTAAAACACAAGGGCAACGGGATCAAATCAACAGAATGGGGGCAGAGGGACAGTACTAAGTGTATCTGATGGGAGTATAATGCAGGCAAGTGCACTAGGCCTTGCTGTAAATTTGACCACAACTGCAATACTTGTTTTGGTCCACATCCATGGGTTATGTGCTGGTTCAAAGACTGGTTTCCAGTTGTCCTTTCAGGTCACCAGGCCACCCTCAAAGCTTAACAACCAGGATGGAGGTGGTGGGGCACTGGCCCACCCCTGCCACAGAGTCCAAGAAATAAACCTCCTGGGGACCTGGGCAGCCTCCTCTCATTGGCCACAACTCCTATTAGGCTGACTGCACTGTGCCTGCTTCTTTTGGCCTACCCAAATTGCAGGGCTATATTTGAAGGGAGGATTTTAATAAGGGATTCCAGATAGGGCAAAGATTTCTATATTTCACATTTTCTCTTCAACCTACATTTGAACTCATAAACGTTCAAGTTTGCTTATGAGTAATCTGACCTTTCTTACCAGTTACTCATAAACATGTTCAAACCCATCCATAAGTTCAAATGTAGGTTGCAGGAAAAAATATGACATGTCACAGAAATTCTCCCCCTACAGGACCCCAGTCACTACAGCCACTGATAACTTAAAATCAACCTGTGAACTCCCTCACATAGTAGAGGCTAAGATTAGCAAGGAGTTCCTGATGGAGCATTTAGTGAGGCTGTTCCATTTTCCCCTGGTACAGAATTTGCACATATTTCCATTAGGAGCTGTACCTAAGAAAGCTCCAGGGGAGTACAGATTAATTCACCACATGTCCTATCCTTGGGGGAATGTCCATGAATAATGTCATCCCTCAGAATTTTGCACAGTACACTGTGTGTCTTTTAACTACACTGTCACTTTGGTCCCAGCTTTCTCGGGGCCCTCTTAGCAAAATGTGATATCCAGTCTGCCTTCCATCTCCTCCCAGTCTATCTGGATGGCCTTTTGCTCTGTTAAGGCCATGCCCATGGGGTGCTCCATGCCATGTACTGCATTTGAAACATTTTTCCAAACCACATGTTGAGATTTATTTTATTGGCATATTTTAATAAAGGCTTCCAGTTTTCAGTGAATTGACTGTGCCTTATTTCTCCTCTATATAGTCTAACTTTATTAGTCATTTTTCCATCAAAATTGTATGCCATATCTTATTCGTAAATGCTTCTATTTTCCCAATTTCTAGCAATCTCAGATCTTGTGGTGCCTATAAGTATTACAACTAATTCTCTTTTTTAAAGTTTCTCATTCCCCCCCTATAACTAATGAAAATGACAATAATGTTTCATTCATATCTATTTTTTGATTGGCCAGCGTCTCTATCCATCTAATTACCTTGTGCCAGAATGCTTTATTTGGGAGTAAGAAATCCACAAATGTTTCAAAGTTCCTTTTTGTCCACAGTTCTTCCAGCATTTATCCGATATATCTTTATTAATTCTATGTAACTTTGCAGGATATAAATGGCACCATCATTTGCTGCTAAAAAAAAAATATATGGGTATTTATTCCATATTCCTGTCCAGATTTCCTCAGGTATATTAATATTTAAATTTGTTTCCCATACTGTTTTAGGTCCTCTGCCTTTTACATATTCTTTCTCAATAATACCTTTATATATTAGTGAGGTTAGTCCTCTCTTTTTATTTTTATCTTTTTGA